AGGAAGTGGTAAATGTTAAATATCCTCCTCATCATATAGACAATGATTACAAGCAGATGATTGGTATGCACGGTGTAAACTTGTGTGTATTTGTCAACGGGAAGTCGCTCAGTTCACCTACTTTTGTTGCAAAAGGATTACCTTATCTCAGCGAGCAGCAGGAGCTTTGTCTTCTGTAACTCAACATGTGTGATTAGTTCTCATTGTGCGACAGTGTAATCTGCACAGATAATGCTTTTTCCCTTAATGCAGACTCTTTTAAAGTTCTCAGAGACACTGACGGCGGCTCTATGTGAATATTCATAATGTCTATTTGAATTTGAAATGCAAGGAGTTTATTATACAGAGAGCGTGATAACCTTTGCAACACTGCTGGGCTTGCAGTGTACCTTCGTATTGTCTCCTGAGTGGTTTGTGTCTTGTTACTAAGACACAGCATATGTGGGCTTGGTTGCCGACTTGGTTTAGAAAAACGCTTGGATTTGTCCTCAGCCATTAGAGCATTCTGGCATCAACATGGCCAGGAGATGCACACAATAAAGATAGTGAGAGGCTATTTTTGGCACCTTAAATGATAAAATGTAATCTAACGGGATGTCATCAAATATGAGACATGCAAAAATGCATCCCTTGAACAGAGAGCTCATTAATGGATTCCTCTCAATGTATTCACAATGCCTCCATGTTTTTCTTTTTGCCACACAGCGTGGGCAATCTTTTATGCCTGGATCAGAAACCTGCACGATTCATTTACTTTAAAAACAACCAAGTGTAGGATGGCTACATCAGCATGCTGGGTTCACAACCAGCAATCTGCATCATTTCAGGTGGATCACACTCATGTACATCCAATTGCCAAAATGCTGAAAGTGAGCAAGACTCTGTGAAATGCAGGCAGAAATTTACAGTCCAGAAAATGACCCAGTGGGTGCATTTATTCTTAGCTCATGCATGCAGTAAAGCAGCATTTCTCTTATATTACACTGCTTAAAAACAAAGTACATTTCGTACGAATACCTGAAGTAGGTAACATTTTTCCCCCAAACACAGTAATTTGTTAAGACAGATCATTGCACGACTTGATTCCCGAAAAGCTTTTAACAGATTTTACACGGAATAAATTATAGGAAATGAGAGAATCAGTGCAGGAAATGCACGTACTTTCGTTGACAAGTGACGGAGCTTATCCCTGTGTTTGGTGAAGAATTCCTGGTAAAGCTGTCAGCAGTTGAAATGTGGCGAGGTTTGTTTTGTCCCGTGCTGTCACTATTAAATGTCGCCGAGCCTTATTTAAATGCAGGGATTGTATCTATGTGGGTGAAGTGCCGTGGTAGTGCTATGTGTTCTCAGATAGGTTTTTTTCTTTTACTGAGTGGGTTACTCTGCTTTGATGCTCACACAAGCTGTTTCTGCTTCATGCAGCTGTAAGCACTGATTACAGCCACCACTGCCGATAGACTTTAACACTTTTTTAGAGCCTTTTTGTTCTGTCTATATCTTGTTTTCGGTCTCTGCATTGGTAATTTCTGATGTTTCCATCCATCACTTTGTTTCAATTTATTCAGATGTCATAGTGAACAAGGACACCTTCAGAGAGTTCAGTCTGTCTGTTGGGCTGTTAAAAATAGGTAATTATTTTCAGTAGTTCTCCTAGTGCACCTGTTGAGAAGGTCGCAGCGACTCTTAACAACATGTAAATAGCTTTAGACAAAGTTAGCTCAGCTTAGCACCTATGCTTCAAAAGGGCAATTATTTAGCCAGGCTTTGGCTTTTCACGTAGATAACAAACAAAACCCAAAACAAGGTGTAACATGTAGAGTACCGATCTTTAGAGGTCCACTTTAGACAATTGGCCACTTCAGGCTTTAACACATGTGAGTGACATCAATATTTTCATCTGGCCTGACTCTCTCCAAAAAGGTAGGCTAAAGTGTACTCCCTCACATAGAAGATAGTTCGCCCTGAGCTGAGTGATCTAAAGAGGTTGAAGCTCCACAAACACTTGTAGTGTAAAGAAGCTTTATTACTTGACCGGTGTTTCAGTATGTGGCCCTCATCGGTGTAATCAAAAACTACATCGCAGACGGCACTTTAAATACCGTACGTGTTTGAGTGGAGGAAAAAAAACATCTATCCACCAGACTGTACGTATGCTCTGAAATTTGTCTGCAATTTATTTTTATTTTTTTATGGCCGGACATGTACTAAATGTGTTTGCTTTCTAGCATTCTGTGTTTCTGTTGGTTGTGCAAACATGGGTCGTAGCAGCACGGTGGTGAAGCGGTTAGCACCGTTGCCTCACATCAAGGTTTCTGGTTCAAACAACCTCTCTGTATCTCAGTGGGTTTCCTCCCGCAACCCAAAAACACACATGTTAGGTTAAGTTGGTATTTCTGAATTCAAGCCAAGAGTCTGAGGTAGATGAAGTGTGCAAAGGTGACATTTAACCATACAGAGACCTTTCAGTGGTCAGCAAATAATTACACCACAGTGTTTTGCTTGATGAACAGCACACGCTGCTGGAAATAAGGAGTTGTGCAGTGTTGTCATGTGGTATGTGAAGGGCCTTTAAGTGAACTTCCCAGGAGCCCATAGACTGTATATAAAAGATGGACGTATCTACTGTGGCTAGCAAATTCTCACTGTGAATCTTCAAGATCAGCATTGTAACTGCAGCCGTCTTAGGTTTTTGAAACAAAATGTCAAAGAAAACCCGGGAAATGCCCTTGCGACCATATTTGCAAATTTAGTATCATGTTGTATTCAATGTTTGACTCTCAGGAAAATGTTGATTGAAGTCACAGGTTAAGGTACCCAAGAGCTGTTTTCCTGCTAACTTCTATACAACCACACTTTTCTTTCAAGCAGAGGAGTCTGCCCCTGCTGGCACAGCCGGGCAGAGGAACGCGAAAGGTGACCTTCGGCATTCTTATACGACGCCTCGGGTTATGGATGAAATCATGTAGAATGGCGCTCCCGCGGTAATACACGCTCCAGCCATGTATTCCAGCCCTAACCATAACCTTATCCCTAACCTTAACCAGCACTTTAATGACATTAAATACTGTTTTCCAAAGTTATTTTTATATAAAATCTTTATTATTTTAAAGGACAAGCAACACAATGAGAGTTGAGAGGCAGATGATCATTTCACAAGCTGTAGATTCTACATGTGTAGATGCGATCCAAACGGTTCTCATGTTTCATCATTTTTCCGATCTCGTAATATAGGGACGTGTTGTTGAAGAGTAATATATCAGCGATTTGTCCCCGAGCATAAAATGTTACGCTTTAGGAGTGAGAACGTGGTATATATAAACACCTATACCAGACACAAGGTGGGAAAACAGGGCTGTGCAATTAATAGCATGTGGCTTTTCAAGTGATTTTTTAATTTAATTACTTGACTTTAATTATAATTAAAGTTTGAGGAAGTTTAAGGAGTCTCTGAGCAGCCATGTTAAATTATTGTAATCTCCTTGTTGACCAAAAAATACTTTTTTAATACTTTGAGAAAAAAGAGAAAGATCAAACTTGGGTTTTTTTGGCCCCCTACGAGGTAAAACTTCCTTGTAGTGTTTAGAGGAAAGGCAGAAAACAGCTTTAAAAAGCCATAGAGCTAAGAGGCAGACATGCCTTGTTTAAAGTCTTCTTATTAAATTGTCTGTTTGTGTCATCTTTCTGCAGTAGTGACTTCAGAAACAGGCTCAGCGATGGGCTCGGTGCTGTTTCTTGTGAGTTGACAGCTCGTAACGATGAGTGACAGGTGTCGGTGTGCGAACTTGTTCAGCTTAGTGTCAGGAGGACGGCAATAAGTGCAGACTTTGTTGACTCGAGGCAAACTGTCTGATTTTGTTGTCTCTCTAGTTTCATCACACATGTACATAACTATTTTATGGACTCGTTTAATAGTCCTGATGAGAAAATGACACTTAACGACAGGAGGTTTACTGTGTGCGAAGGAAACCAGGCAGGTATTTGCGCACCTCTGAACTTGCCGACTGTGCAAGCATGCCTTCCGGGTCCCAGTTGTTTCTCTGTTTTAATACAGACAGTGGTAACCAGAGTAAAAGTATTTACCTTCATTCAAACAGGATTCAAATGAGTATCACGCACAGAGCAAATTAATTCAGTTCATCTCTGTACCACACTAAGAAAACCTTTAAAAGTCTGATGTGTTCAGAGGGAAAGTGAGAGTATAACTTTTATTTTCTCAGTGCCGAAATGGCATTTTGGTGTGCAGCTGGGTTTTTTGTGCGCGAATATAATCAGACAATTTCAGGGTCGAATGCACGCAGAATATTGGAGGATCTTCATTGTTTTGCACTTTCCTTGTAAAAAAAAACAAAAAAAAAAACAACACACAAAACACAAACATTACTTGTCTCTATTTCAGCAGAGAGAATCTGACTGGTCACCGTTTTCCTCTCATACCCTTTACTGAGCTGCTCTCAAGCCGTTTTGGATTTTAGCTGTCAGATTTATGCTTCCACACATACGCTTGTGCGTTTACCTCTGCCTGAACTCTGAGAGGTCTGAAATGTAAATTTGAATGCCAGAAAAACTGAGCAACACCTCATTTTCAGTCGGGCCGTAGCAGCCTCTTCTTCCCTGCAGCCCTTTGGCTCTAACCCCTCATCGCAGCCCATTGAGACACTTCGCCTGGCACCCCCCTCCCCATCCCCCTCTTGAACATTTTGTCTCCATGGCAATGTTTTGAATGAGATTTAGGGCAGGAAAGGTTGTTGTTGTTTTTTTCCCAAGGGAGCTGAAAATTAGCAGAACTCTATAGAAACTGCTGTCCTCGTGTGTTTAGGCGAGCACTAAGTGGCGCTGATAAATGTCAGTAAAATGTATGCAAACAGGAGGCGCTGCAAAGCATTTAGAATAATAAGCATTTTCATTTTCTGTCCTAATAATTCGTTCTGTGTTGCAGGTGACCAGATTAGCCATTCTTAGAAAGCAATTGAAAATGTGCCTTTGGTGTTTCTCTTTTGCAGTCACCTCTTTGGAGCCTATTATTGGCCAGTATGGGGAAATGCTCAAGATCCCATGCAACAGTGGAGCCATAAAGGCAGAAGACATCGCCATCACTAAATGGAAATATGTAAGTCACACTGGAGATCAGTTGTTCTCAAAATGGCAAAGTAGGTCTAAGGCCCACTTACTGTATCTGAAGTCGAACCACGCCCAGTCTGAGTGCATTAGACCATGCATCTGTCCCTCCATATGACACCGCATGAACAGTGCATGCTTTTATTGTGAACACGAAGCCAGTGCCATATGCGAGCGACACATAACAAGCGCGCTCTGCTCTCCAGGACAAAGGGGATGGAGTTCCAGGATACCTGCTGGTCAAGCAGAAAAACCAGAATGTCTCAATCAGCGCCACTGATGAATACAAGGTCCGTGTGAGCATGGACAAAAACTCCAGCCTGCTGATCTCTGCCGCCAAGCTCAGCGACCAGCGGACTTTCACTTGCATGGTGGTGACCGGCGGAGACGTGTTCGAATACCCAGTTAATGTCCTAATTCACAGTGAGTCTGAATTAGCTGAAAAATTGTCGAAATGCCCTCGTTCAAGTGCTGTGACTGACACAAGCAACACCCAGCCTTTCCATTCACACTGTTTTTTTCCCCCTCAACTACAGAGTTGCCGGCAAAGTTGGAGATTTCTGGAGAAGCAGAGGAGCTAGAGATTGGAAGACTTACTAAGGTGGAGTTTTTAATGATAAACATTTTAATGCCTACATTATTTTAAGCAATGACTCATGAAGGGAAATCCCTCACTTGAGCTAACGTATCTTGAGGCCTAACAGAGATGGTGCCTGTTATTGTAGTAATGACTTCTTTGAAGTGATTCTCATGAATTAGTAAAGAGTAGAAATCTCGCTTGTGCTACAATTAAAAGACCCAAAGGATTTGAGGGGCTTTACAAATGCTTTAGGCATTTCATGGTCTATTGCATGGAAAACTGTTTAGTCCTCAAATACCAGAGTGGCATTAACAAAAAGCTCATTTTCTCATATGTTTGGTCATTTAAAAATAGTCATGAAATGCATTTTTTTATTCATCCTTTGAGTGCTTTTCTTGCCTGTTTCTCACTTTTTTTGCTTTGCAGCTTGGAAATTGTGTTGCAAAAGATGCCAACCCACCTGCAAACATCACATGGTTCAAGAACAATAAACCTCTGGAGGCTGATGGGAAAGGTGAGCGTTCACCATCCCTTTTGTTGTCTTTGAGTTCTAAAAAATATATTTGACATTTATAAATATTGCATACACAGATGGTTTTATTCTCTCTGACAGGGACAGTTGCTGTAAATTATTCTGCTGTGATGAATTGTGCTGCACTCTCATGACGGCGTGGCTCATGACTGTGTGCAGTGTTTTGGTCATTGCACATTTTTTTCCTTGTTAGAGTTTTCAGACAGTGCTCGTTTGTTTTCTGTCTAGGGATTTCCATCAAAGTTTCTGTTGTGGAAGAATCTAGTACCGGCCTCTCGACCACTACCTCCACACTCGAGTATTCTGCAATGAAGGAAGACACAGGCGCCAAGTTCAAATGCCGTGCTGACGGTCTACCGCTGGAATCCTCTTCCATGAACTTTACTATTACCTGTGAGTCGTTGAGCGTACTTTGTCTAAAACCTTTTATTTTGATTTAGTTTTTTTGTCTGTAAATTCAAAGAAAGGGTTTAAAATGCAAGATGATCATCATGAAATCTCTGAAAGTTTACGCTCTGTCTAAACTACATGCCATATCCTGAAAACGACACCCACTCAAACACCCACAATATTCTACTTCAGCTTGAAAGTCTCAGTAATCCACTGCCTGTAGCAGGACAACACTATACAATGTGCCTGTATCAGAGGTAGAGCTGGGCGATATGAGATTTTTTCATATCACGATATGTTTTTTTCATTTCAGGCGATAACGATATCTATCACGATATAAGCCAAATAACTATATTTGTAAGATTTAAATGTGCCGTTGCTCACAAGTAAAATGTGAAATAATCAGCAGCTTGTTTTGATTTAAATATTTATTTCCCATAATAAGTTCAACAGGGTAGATGTACTTAAGGAACATGAGACTTTTTCAGATAAATAAAGGCAAGTATTGCAAACTACACAAAAGGCAGCCGCTGAAGCGTTTAAGTTTCAAAATAGAACAAACGAAACAGACTAAATTGTCAATTCCACTTAGAAACAAAATATTAATTCTAAAAATAAATCTTAGTTTGTTTTACAGAAGAACAGACAAAACTGACTAACTTTTGTCAATATCAAATAAACTGAGAACTAAAAGGAAATTCTCAATCTCTCCTTGTTGTATAGCTGAGCTTTTCAAACAGTTTTAACAGTTACTTTAGTCTGACAAAAGCCGAATGACGAATTAGCGCTTCCAGTCAGAGACTGAGGCTACGTCCACACGTACACGGGTATTTTTGAAAACGGAGATTTTCCGTTTTCGTTTTAAAAAATAATCCCGTCCACACATAAAGGCAGAAATGAAGGAAAACGCTGCTATGAACATGCCAAAGCAGCAGGTGGAGCTAGATTCCTAACCGTGCAGAAATGTTGGCCAATCAGAAGTCTAGAAGCCTCGGTGGGAAAAAGTAAACAAAGCTGGGGCATAGAAGCAGAACCGAGCCGTATGTGTGGACGGACAGTAACTGTGTGCATATGTAAGCATTTAAACACTGCAGAGAGTAGAATTAACAGTAACAGTATTGTAGAAATTCATTTCACCGAAACAATAACGTGGCGCACAGTGTGACGCATGCACCAGTTTATTGTATTTCCAGACTTGCTTTCGGCACAATTTACAGTGCACGCTACTCTGTTTTTTGTCAGACTTGAAATAGCCGAAATACCTTCACACTACAGAACTTCTATGGCTCTTCCGTTTGACAATCTCTCCGGCGTTGGAACCATCAGCTATTGAAACTTCGGTCACGCTCGGTTGATTTTTCTAGTCGGCACACTCATTTCCTCCATTACGCGCTGGCTCCATTACCCGCTGGCTGCTTCCCAAACAAACACGTGCGGCTTGGCACTTGTGCTGTACGTAACAAGTCACGCGACGTGACGCTGCGGCTGTGATTGGTTCGGCTCTGCGCTACTCTGCGCTGTTGATTGGCTGACCTTTTTTTTTTTTGAGGACAAGAGCGGCGAGGTCTATCGCGATAGCTTAATTTCTCTATCGAGTAAAAGTTATATCGCGATACATATCGTTATCGTTCTATCGCCCAGCTCTAATCAGAGGATTGTTTTAGCACCTCATTTGTAACTAACTGTTGCAAAGATATTTGTAGCAAGCTGTTGTAGCCAAGGCACAACATAATAATGCTGCTTAAAACTCTGTGAATTATCCACAATATACTATAACACAAACTATATAGAGTCAAAACGCTGGAGCTTAACTTACAACAAGGACCTTCACTCTATGCAAAGAAAGGAGAGCCATGAAAATGCTCCCCTCTGCTGTGGTTGGGAATTAATGACCAGCTATGACCAGACAGGTAAGCAGCGAAAAAAAAGACTTGGGATGCAGTACTGTGCAGACTCGTGCTGCCCCCCATTATTCTGTATTTTGATTACAAGCAGTGGGTTGCTTGTTCACTCATTTTCAGTCAAAAAAATGCCAAAGATAACACAGTATGACATTATTGTGCCAACAGAGCAATACCCAGAGAGCTACTAGCTGGAAACCTGGTATATAATGGCTTGGTGTGCAGTGTGTCCTAAAAGAATTTGAGGAAAGTGGACAAGTGGCAGCCAAAATGAGAGGTAACAGGCATAAAAAAACATCTATAGCAGATGAACAGTGTATGAAAGTCATGCCTTTAAGAAACAGGCAAGTATGTGAGACCAAACAGATGTCTGGCTCTTCGGTCAAGTCACTCTCAAGGAAGGGAAACAGAGAAAAAGCTGAGGTGTGCCAAATTAAAGAAGAAGACCGAAATCAGCGGCAAAAGATCTAATGAAGCGATTTAAAATGTTTGGTTCAAATCATTGTCAGTGTGTACAGAGAAGGTCAGGAGCCATCTGTAAAACACAGTGGATCTCAAACACACCGCCAATGCAGTAAAACCATACCTGGATAGAAAAAACACACACTATCCATCATGGATTGGCTTCCCCAGATTCTCCGGACTTCAACATCATTGAAGCAGTGTTGGATCATCTTGACAGAGAACGGAACAAAAGGCAGCCAACATCCAACGAAGACCTTTGAATGTCATTCATGAGCTATTCCTGAAGACTATTTAAAGAAATTAGAAGAAAGCTTACCTTGAGATTTCAGGCTATGTTGAAGAATAAAGGTGGCCGTAGCAATTGGTGACTTTTAAGCTCATTAGTATTGTACAACAGAGGCAGAGCCAGACATTTGAAACACCCGGGGCTTAGCCCGAAAGGGTAGTATGCATGTGGGATTTTTTTTTTTTTGGGGGGGGGGGGGGTAGAAATGACTGAAAGATTAATTGGCTCTGTTTTGAGTTTTGTTCAAAAAAGAATGACTTCATATAGGGAAAAATATATATCACATGTGCAGGACACCTTAACCCTTTAGAGCCGATCGGAGCGGACACGCTCTATTTTGCGTAACTATTTTTAAATCCCGGTAGCACTGCAACCACGTAAGCTAGCGCAAAAATTTTTTTTGCATATGAAACCGGAGGAGTTGTACTTACATCTTATGCCATCAGCTTGTCCTAGGTCACGGTTTCCTTCCACATATAGCTTTGCAAAAACTGCATAAAAAGCGCTTGCAGGAACAAAAACATAATATTCCAGAAACACGCTTTGCCGATCCGATCAGCTGTTCATAACACTTCCTACGTTGGAATAGACGTCAGCGCGAACTTTTGCATTTCCGCCATTACCTGCCCGAAACCGGAAGTGACGTCATTTTCGCGGAAATGTAGTCTTTTTTACCATCAGGGCCTCAGGGCCTATACTGCTCTTTTTAAAAGTTATCTTTGACTTTATGACTTTCTGTGTCGTTTCTGGGATGCTTAGGACTCATATTGCACTGCTGGAAATAGTTTATTTTGATGCATATGCTGCTTTTTTGCAAATTTGCAGTATAATATTTATTTTCGTTTTTCCTGCAGTGTATAAAAATTGGTGTATTTCAAAAATAAAACTATGAAGACACTCAAAATAAATTTCCTGTGGTGGGAAACTATTTTGTGCAACTTTTTTGTATTTACAGTTTTGAGGGATAAGCCTCTTAAATTTCTCTAACTAGAAATATATGTTAAAAAAGCAAAAACGATTTTCAATTTTTTTGTAGTTTATTGCACTTTTTTGCAATTTATGTAATTACTATGCACTTAATGAATACATATTATTAAAATCATCTCTGTTCCGTCCTCATTCCCTCTCTCTCCCTCTGCTGACAATCATCAAATATACAGTTGAAACCAGATATTTACAAACTCTTCAGATCAAAACACTTTTTTAATTGTAACATCAAATCAGACTAAATGTTTATTTTTTTAGATTGATAAATATAAAAAACATATTTGTTAACTTTAAGAGTAAAGAGAGAAACTATCTGTATTTCTTAATTGTAAATGGCACCAAATTGTATTCAAACTTGAGCCACACTTATGGAGCTCCACAGTTCTTTTCCTGGTGTTTTGGTTGACATCTCTTGATTTTCCCATTTCAAAGAAACAGGCTCTGTGTTTTGCCTTATATGCATCCACAGGTGTGCCACCAATTTACTCACATGGACTCTACTAACCTATCAGAAGCTTCTTCAGCTCAGAATGGAATTGTCACAGTCTGGCTGGGGCAGACTGTATGTGTTGCAAAAGAGGACTCAAACGCAGACCAAAACGTGGCGTGGATTAACAAAAACAAGCCGTTTATTGAGGCTAGCAATGAGGGTACAAATAATAGGGCATTGGTGAACACTAACCTAAACTGGGTGAACTAAAACTAAACATGAAAAACCTTAAGCATAGTGAACTGACAGAGATACCTGGAGATGAGACATGGATGAGCAGACGACCTGACCAGGAATGACTGAAAGCACGCGGACTAAATACACACAGGAGGATAATGAGGAAAGTGGGAACACATGGGGAAACAGCTGACACACATGAACATAACAGGCTGTTGCGGTTCTCCTGAACCCCCAGCTGACGTGGCATGAGGCTGGACGGGCTCCTCGGGCCCTCCAGCTGAAGCAGCGGCAGGACCAGTAGGTGCAGAGACTACTGGCTGAACAGAAGGCTGAGTGGGTGATGGAACAAATGACTGAGCTGAACAATGGGGAGCTGGCTGAGCTGCACAGTGGGCTAAGGGCTGAGTTAACGGAAGCACAGGAAAGTGTACTACGGACTGGGCTGCTAACAGAGCTAATGACTGAGCTATAGACTGAAAAGCATGCAGTAGTGATGGTGGTGTTGGTTGCGGACTGAATTCTCCTGAGCCTTCAGTAGAAACAGGAACGGGTGCAGGCACCTGCTGGACACTAGCCACTCCCACCCGAGGAGTAGGTACGGGTGCGGAGACGGGCTGTATCCTGGCTGACCTCACCCTGGGGACCGGCATGGGTGCAGGGGTGGACTGGTTCACAGCCCCCCTCACCCCGGAAGCCGGGACAGGCACCGGCAACGGCTGGGCAACTGCCCTTCCCACCCGAGGAGCTGATACGGGTGCAGAAATGGACAGAGCCTCAGCCGGCCTGGAAACCAGAGCAGGGACCAACTGGGCCTCAGCCTCCCCCACCCGAGAAACTGTTACGGGTGCAGGGGTACGCTGGGCCCGAGCTGCCCTGGCAGCAGAAACACGAACAGGCAAAGGAGCGGGCTCAGAAAAACCAGTCTTAGAATTGGCAGGCTCAGGGTCAACATGTACTGGGTCGACAAAAACAGACCTAGCAAAAATGAATCCGCCATCCCCCCCACCATGTTTCACAGTCTTGGTATTAACAGTCTTTGAAGTCCTTGGGTTAACGGTCTTAGAGTGAGCTGACTTGGGGATGACTGAACCAGACTTAACAAAACCTGAACTGAGTGTTGTAGACCTGGTAGAAGTGTTCAGTTTTTCCTTTAACCACATGTGCAGACTTAGGCGAGCGGGTATTGTATTTGATCTCACCCTGTTCAGAGGGAGCAAGGCAAAATAACTTTTCCCAATCCATGTCATCATCCATAAGGGAAGTTCCCCATGGATCAGAGGTGAGGCTGTTACTTTTACTGTCAGATGGGACGTGAGAATAGGAGTCATTGTCACTCACCACCGTGAGTTGCTCAGCGATGTCCAGTTTATGGCGGCGGGAGCGCCGCTTCCTGCGAACAGAGGAAGCTGGCGGAGCGAGCGACTGAGCCCCTGGTGCACAGAACGGTGACACCGAGGCTGGAGCGTGAGCGCCTGAAGCCACACGGAGGACTCCCACCTGAAGCGAGCGAGGCTTGGATGCAGGCAGCGCAACGGGCGGGGACTTTCAGCAGCTCTTGGAACCTCCGAGAGCTAGCCGAGTCCCGTGGAAAATGCGCTCGTAGTCGGGGGTACGCCACGGCTTCCA